ACAACTCTATCCACAACCACCCTTGCGCTGGGTGATGCTGACTCGCATGTCACGATTCTCTTTCCAGCGAGCAAAACTTGGACAACTCTCGCCAACCACCAACTGATGCACCCAGTTGAATGTCGCACGAGCATTTTCATTGCATCGAACCGACGAGTTTACGTATTGACGACATCTTTATTTAAACGAGGTCAAACGTTGGTCAAATTATTGCATCACTCACCATGGCACGCGGTGCGTTATTTTGAACGCTGTTGAACTTCACCCAACTTGTATCACGCCCATGTTTCACCGATGGATGAGCTGGGGTGATAGCTTGGACATGGATTCGAGCCTGGCTCGGCGACCAAAGTAAGGCTGCAAAGGATTGTTGGGATGAGCAAGGAGGTAGGGATGGCCGGAGGCGGTAGATCGTGCTGCGGGTCAGGACGGCATTGCACTTGGGATAAGCACGACACCTCCGTGCATGGCCCGCCACTACCGAGGGCTTGGCCGCTCCGGACAATTGCTGCGGCCCGGTATCCGCTCCCTTTCGAATTGCCCAACATAGGCTTCAAGTGGGATGGGTAGCAGCGGCGGGCTTACACGATGGCGCATGAAACGCTGGAGGTTGTTTGTGGTGTAGTACTGATTGACCAGCTGCCAGCTGTGGTTCTCGCGTCGAGGACAAGCTGTTAATGAATGGTTACAGCTGTCTGGTGTTATGGAGTGGATTCTATGCACTTGAAAGTGGGTGCGCATTGCATTTCCACCGAGCCCTTCCAAGGGGCCGATCGACTCTGGTCGACTCCGACCTTGACGATGCACTGCGCCCTGGGCGCCGTGGGTGCCTCTGATACATCTCGTTGACTTTACTGCTTACCAGATGGAATGACGTGGATCAGTTGACCAGTTGTGATATCCTGCGTACCGAGCCCTCGACCGCGACCAGGTTTGCGTCGCCTCCTCCAAAACGCACGATCCAGCCCCTCATCCGTCCTCCGCCTCATTCCTCTTTTGGCTACCTTCTACCAACATGGTCCGCATTGCCTCCATCGCATCCCTCGCCGCGTCGGCCACCGCGACCATTTCCCAGCGTACCCTTCGCGCACTCGAAACGCAAAAGGCCATCGATATCTTGGTCACCTACAAGGCCGGCCCTGGCCTCACCAAGCTCAATACCGAGTCGTTGTCGCGTGAAGCCCGCGCCCAAGAAGTGTTCAACATCTTGACGACTGAAAACTTCGCCATCACCGCGTCCGCCGTGGAAGTCGCCAAAGCTGCCGGAGTGAAGTACACGCAGTACTGGATCGACTCCGTTGTCGCGATTGAAGGTGCCAACGCGGAGCTCGTCGCCAAGTTGGATGCCCTTCCCAACGTCGTCAGAGTCGCCCAAGTGGAAGTGTACGAGTTGCCGGCCTTCCTCGAATCCAACCTCGTCGCGGCCAACTCCACCAACGAATGGGGTGTTGAGATGATCAGCGCCCCAGTTGCCTGGGCCCGCGGCAACAAGGGCAAGGGCATCGTCGTGGCCAATATCGACACCGGTGTGCGCGGCACGCATGAAGCGCTCAAGGGCAACTTCCGCGCTCAGAATGGCTGGTACGAACCCTCCACGAAGTCCCCTGCCCCCAACGATCGACACGGCCACGGTACCCACACCATGGGAACGATTGCCGGTGCCAACGGCATCGGTGTAGCCCCAGAAGCCCAATGGATTGCGTGTGTCGGGTGCCCGGCCGGGTCATGTCCCCAAACCGATTTATTGGCATGCGCCCAATTCATCCTATGCCCAACCGACACGAACGGCCAGAACCCCAACTGCAAGATGGCCCCTAGTGTCGTTAACAACTCGTGGGGCTCGTCTCAAAGCGGCAGCACGTGGTATGAAGCATCGATCCTTGCCTGGCGCAAGGCCGGCATCGTTCCCGTGTTTTCGAACGGGAACTCCGGCCCCAGCTGCGGCACCGTAGGCTCCCCTGGTGACTCCCCCTCGGTCATTGCTGTCGGTGCTACTGATATGACTGATGCATTGGCCAGCTTCAGCTCGAAAGGTCCTGAGCCCCTACAAAAGCGCATCAAGCCTGATGTGTCGGCCCCCGGTAAGGGCATTCGCTCCGCTGGTTATGCCGGCGATAGCTCGTACGTCTCGATGTCTGGTACGTCTATGGCCGCCCCCCACACCACCGGCACCGTCGCGTTGATGTTAAATGCCAACCCCGGTGCCACCTATGAAACCGTGTACAAGTTGATCACCGGTTCGGTCGATACGGCCACGTTGAAGCCATCCACTGCCAACTGCGGTGGTGTGGACAACTCCAAGTACCCCAACAACGACTTCGGGTTCGGCCGTATTAACGCCAACAAGGCGTCCGCCTCGGGTTCGTCCACCCCCGCTCCTACCTCCGCCAATCCCGCGTGCTAAGTGCCGAGAAGTGCGTCGGGTGTTTGTTCGCCAAAATTGGTTTGGGAGCCTGTGTCGATGTTAATACGAATGAATTGATGGAACCCAACAACTGTGTGGGAATCTGCGTTGGGCAGCCATGTACCAAGCATCGAAGGATGCTAGCATTGATGGCTCCCTCCCAAAGTTTGACTTGGGCACATTCTTTACATTCTTATAACGTTTAGGCCGTTCAAGAAGAGGGGCAGGACGAGCCTCTTGCAGCTGAGCCACACGGTATAGTGAATGAGGTGGGCATGGCTGCGTACACAAACAAGAGTCTGTCCAGTGTTGAATTTGATGCGACAGCGCGCGTTCACTGAGCCGCGCTCAACTTTTCAAATCGTGGATGCGACTTGGGTGACGGCGGGCGCTGGGTATACTAGATAATTTGCGTTTTGATATAGCAGTAACACTTCGAGAGGGCGATTGTAGGAACTCTACTCCGTTGGAAAAACACGCAAAACTGTTACCCTTACAGTGAGCGACGGAAAAATGTCCCCAGTGGTATTAGAAACATATCAAGAAATTTGTATGGGGAATACATTACCTCCGACGAGAATTGACGGTATCTTTATTCACAGTAGTCGACGGCACCGAGGGGACAAAAGTGCTTTTCTTTTGAGCCACATGACCATTTTTCCTGAAATTTTGCGAGTGAACCGGACTCATTAGACAGATTTCGCAATTAGAATCCACACGAATTCCACTGCAAGAATTTACAAAAAGTCTCACAGGATATTTCCTGTGGTGAAGTGATTTCGCTACAGGAAAATTGTCAGTCGCCAGGCAATGACGAACAACGAAGCGCTCTTGTTGCCACTTGCGGCTCTTCTATTGACATGTATGGTTCAGACGTCCCGTGCAATCACTATCCCAAGTACTCGATTTGACTTTGCCGCTCAGACGGATGCAGACTGCCTCTTTAAATTTCGCTTCAGCAAGTGGGAGATCGTCGAGCTCGTTAAAC